GTATCCGAGGTATGCTCCCTATCGGGCCGATTGCCGACTGCGGAGCGTTTCGAGCCGAGTCCATGGCTTCTTTTTTGTCTCGATATACACTCGGCGTTCCGTCGCTTGAAACGCCGCTCGACCAGCTCGACATGTCAGCCCCATCTCTGCTTGATTGCAATCTCCGCAACTCTGCGTTCTGTCCCCCCGAACTCATTGAGTTCCCGCCCGCCCGCCGCAACTCGTACTGCACGAACCCCCTCGGCGCCATTGTCTGCGTGGCAGGCCTTCCAAGCAAGCAGGAAACACCAGCCTAGCGTAGTTTGATAGCTGGCACCGATGCAACAAGCGGCTAATTGGCAACAGTGCTGAGCGATTGTCATGGAAACTTGGCCGGACAACTAGTTTCCTTATCGGTCCTTCCAATACAGACCCGGACAAATAGAACATTTTCTAACGGCGCCTCGCCACCGGATGGAATGACCTGTTTTGGACTCCAAGCTCCTGGATTCTGATCGGGAGATTTTCCCGAGTTCTTCTTCGATGCTTGTGAACCCTCACAAGTATTCATATCGCTCAGGGGAGCTCGCGGACGATAGCCGAATCGCATTCTGACTTCAGGCCATTGTCAAGCGGCAACGGAGTAGCCCGAGATGCGACTCTGCCAAGAAAGAGTGGAACCCTCGGTTCCGTCTACTGTATGTAAATCTCTGTTTCATCAACATGTCTCACATGTTGCTCCCGAATGGGAATGTCGGGACACCGCCATTCGCAGAAATAGAACGGTAGACTTGTCTCTCCTCTTTTATGGTACGAAGCGACTTGACGGATTCCTCTCCGAGGTTCCGGTGCGCAACGCGGCCATTCGGTGTCGTTCGGACCGACGCGACGCCTAATTCCGAACTCCTTTCTATGCGGTCGTTCCGCTGGTGCAGTCTGGTGCCGACGTTGGAGTTTCCCTTGAGAGAGCGTTTTTTTTCGCTTTCAGTCAGTCAATTCTGCGAATATTCCGCGAGCGAGCGCTGTTTTCGCTCTGTTGATTTCTACGCGACGCTCCGGTACTGTTGCTGTGGCAGAACGGGGACGGGGGTTGGGAGGAAATCCAAAGCGAGACGAAGCTGCTCAACGAGCGGTCGCCGGGTCGCCGCATGGCTCGACCCGTTTGGATAACGATGACGAATGTCGAGGCCGCAAAGTTCAAACCGAGGCCGCTGGCCTCTGATCGAAGCTCTGCGGAGACTTCCCCTCGAGCTCGGATGATTGAGACGTCAGCAGAAGAAAGAAACGCTTTCCAAGCCTTCAATGACCTTGTACGTATGTGTAGAATCATTGATAAGTGCCATCGGATCAGGTCCATTACGAGCAGCGAAGGAACACCTTGTTTATTAGAGAAGGCCTTGATGGACCTGAATGGATCCATGAGCGCTGATAGTCCACTGTTCAGCAACGCTCCTGTGACTCTTGTCTTGGTTCCGTTTCCCCCTCCCGTACCTTGTCGGCCTTATGTTCGGCGATCGGAAAGAAGATCGACGACCGAGTGAGTGTGGAAACAAATAACTTGAGCGGAATCCACGATGAAGTCGAAAGGAGGACTTGGAAAAAAAAGCGAGAACAGGCACGGCTGGATACGAAAACTAAGATTTGAAAGGAATGCCACGAGGGGCTGGAATTCGGCCTTCCTTTGATTTAGAGCTGGAGTGCGATCGAGGTTTTCCACGGCTTGTGGCCGTCGATGACGATTCTTGGGCTCGCGGCAATCTCCCTCCCAAAGAGTACACTTGCAATGATGACTGGAGGCATCGGTACAAGGCCTAACAAACCCTTTAACTTCACCATATCCCCCGCGAAGAATCGAACGAGTAGTTTTCTCGTCCCAAAAGTGTGGCTGGGAGTCTTAACGCCTGCGCCTCTCGAACCTAAATTGTCAAATAGGTGTCGACGAGGTTGACTGAATACAGAGAGGTCGTCGGTGCTATCGATAGCTATGATTCTATATACGGAAAATGGAGAGCTCTCCGCGCTTGGGGGAGGAGGGGGGCATGGGTTGTGAATTGGTCCAAGCACCCCTGAGAGCCACGAACTCGACGGTGTTGTCTTACCTTGAACGCCTTCGAATATTCTACTGCGGGACGAATCCACTACGACCAGCGATCCCGGTGTCTTATGCTGCGAATCACAACTGCGGGCTCCGAACGGGGGGAGACTCCACAGTTTAAGGCTGAGAATCCCTCGAATCGCTCTGAGTGGATTTATTGCAGGGCGATTCCAGCGGAATATAGAGAGGAGACTTAATTAGTTCAGCCAATCGAGCTTATTCTGAAATCGATCCACAGGGAGATTATCTCATCTATTCAGGGAAAGCTCCGCGAGCCCTCGAGAAGCGGAGCCCCCGCTCATATGTCTCAAGAATTCTGTTTCCACCACATGCGGCAATTGAGATGAAACATGCAGGAGTCCGACGATGTATAGAGGAACTTCACTGCCGTGTCGTCAGAAACTCGAGTCCTGCCTCAGAAACGAAACCACTGCCTCGAAAAATGCGCGACCTTGTTCTCTTGGGATTTTTAACTCTTAGGAGAGGTTCCTTGCTCCCTATACATGATTTCATAGGGTAACCCAGAGCTCGACTTCAAACAGAACGGAGTCGGATGGAAGACAGCGCTCATCTGATATTTGAAAATTCTCTGAAAAACTTCAATGGAGATTAAGATCTCCGACTGAGGGAAGACATCGAATGTAGGTCCAGACTCGGAATAAGCTACCTTAAGTCTGATTTCCTGGAAAATCCGTATATTTTTCACTTGGAGCTTCGCCCTTGTGTCCCTCGAATCTGGCAGCTCGCTAGATTCATATCACGCTCTATGAAGTCTACTAAGCTTCCCTGTTTGATCCTCATGGGCTCCTCTCTCTGACTTACCGGAGACTAATTCAGCTGGTCTGTCCACCATCGATGTGACAACCCCTATCGCTACCTGCTCGCCAAAGATGGCAGTCCCACAGTCTCCAAACATTCAGCGATCATCGGTGAGAATCTCGGTCGCAGAAAATGAACCAAGGATTGCTCCAGACAGGAACCGGGACGAATAATTCCGGCAGAGATTGCATTTCGTCACTGGTCCTCATTCAGCATGAGACTGGAACCTCAACATCTGATCCAGGACTCGGCCCTCGAGGCAGAGTCGTATCGAGTTTCCTCATTCCGAGACGAAGGAATCGTTTTCGGACGCCAATAGACTGTATGCAAGGAGCTCAGCAGCCATTCATACTGCTCACGCCCACTTTCTCCATGCTCAATTGGCTATGGAGCAAAAACCCTCACAGCGCCGATGGATCATTTAGCGTCTCCTGAAAGAGAGAGAAGAGTCTCTGCAGAGTGCTCCCTTCTAGTGGCTCTGAGGGCCACAACCTGACAGACAGGACATCGTTGCAGCATGACAATAGCCTGGAAGAGGGAGTAAGACTGATGTTTCGTCAAGAGTGCTTGACGCTCTCTTGGTCGGGAGTCCCTACTCGGGACTCCTGTTCAACGTAAGGGCGCCGCCTCTCAACAATCACGGAACGGTTTTGCGTGACTCTACTCTGTTTCGCGTCCCATTAGGCGGAGTCCATTGAGCGTTCGGAATGATTGAGCTTGACGTTGCGAGCCCAGCAACCGAGCAAGTTCTGTGGTGGAGAAATCAATTCCTGGTTTCGGTGCGCATGCATACCACGGATAAACAGTTTCTGACCTCGAACTGCTTATGCTGCGAGCGACCAGACGCGGCCAGAGTTCTGCTAACAGGGCCCCGGCCCTCGCAGCCTGGTTCCATCAGGGAGAGTCTTCCCTGGCTGCTTCACCAAAAAAAAAAGAGGAATTCTCCTTCGCTTCTCTAGGCGAAATCCCTTCGGCCCACCGGGGAAAGTTTGCACCCGGTTCAGGAGTAGGTCGCGGTGGTGGAGCCGCAGTCGACGTTCCAAGTTCGGGAATCGACGGAGAGCACCTCAGGGTGATACCGAGGAATGTATTTCACAAGTGGAAGAGCGGCGGTGAAGCAACGAGCTTTCTCAGACCGGTCTCGCCTTCACGAAGAGTAGTCGCTGCGCTGGCTTCCTAACTCCAGCCGCAACTCGCGCATCGCGTCTCGCCGGATTTCCGCTTGCGGTCGGTCGGAATTCAATGCTTGGTTGGAGCAAACTGGGTTGCTTTAAGCATCGAACGAGTTGATTCGGATGGGTTCTCGTGGAATTATGAGTCTTAGGGTCTTAGGTGAATGTCCTGGGAAATTCCCATGAAGTATCCGCATTACGAGTCTGAGACGCCTAACCCGACACTGGCCGGCGCGGCTCCGAGGATTTTCGTGGTGCACAGCATCCAAAGCGAGACTTATTAGCGAGACTTATCGTTCGTGTTGATTCTCTCAGGCGCCACTGATGACTTTGAGTCCTCTATTTAAGGGTTCCACAAATCTCATCCAGCGGATTTCCGACATGATCTTTGGGCGCTCAAACAATAAGCTGATAATGATCGAGAGCTCGGAAGGCTTTCATTGAGGGAAAACAGGTAATCTCTTTTCGCGTATTTTTAATCGAAATACAAAAAAACAACCCGAGGAGTCGGTGACCCCGTCTTCAACGATTACTTTGTACAATCTAATATACATTTGATTCATATACACATGTATGTTGACTTTACATTGTTCCTGCCGCTCGCATCCGAGCAACTTCTGCTCCGTCTTGTTTCCCCATCCCACGACGGGCCGTTCGCCAACTGCCATTTAGACCCCGAAACCCCCTCCCCCCATCCTTCGGTCTCTCATGTGCAATGCAGAGTCGTCCTTTCGCAATCTCGCTTGTCCGCAGACTCGAACGTGAATTATATTCTGGTTCGTGTCCGAGCTTCCGCGCCAGCGGAAATTGCTGGTGTCAGAAGTTCCTTGGAGGATAGCTATGATTGCGAGTCTCTTCCATAACTGTAGCGTAGAACTAAAAAAATACATTTCAACGCTGGATCCGCACCCTCCGCTGGCGACGACTACGCAACTCTAATGACCACTCCAAGTGGAATGTCGTTCCGCGTTGAAAGTTTTGAGCGACTGCGGGTTCCTCTGCATGGAGCCCGTTCTCAAGATGCTCTCCGGATTGATTGACGCGATCGGCATTGCGCGCGTCTCGTACGGATAGTTCCCGCTCACGCCCTGAGCTTCAACAATGATCTGCGGTTGTTCCAGCACCAACGCGTGGCTCAGCAGAACAGGACCTGGAGAGGACGCATCGTCAACGACGCTACCGAAAAACCCCGACTCCGGAACGAACAAACGTACGAAAGAGAATCGCTCACCGTGAGAAGCCTGAGACGATGACATTGTGTACGCGGAAGGCGGAGGGCCGTCGTTGCGGATCGGCGACCTAACGGTTGTTTGCAAAACATCCATTTGGTGTTGGTTCCTTTGCTCCTCTTCCATCGGGATACGGAGTTGCGAGATGTCAAACGATCGCACGTCGTCTTCGCCACCCCCTGCAATAACAAGCGCCCGTAGATTCGGCCCCGAGTCGGGAACTGTCCGACGGACGTACAGGTGGCGGCTCGGACCGACTGACTGACTGACTGACGGAGTGACTGACTGGCTGGCTGCTGCTGCTGCCAGTGCTTGCCCTGTCGTTCTCCAAGCCGCTGAAGCGGACGAGGCTGCCAGCTCAAATTCGATGAATCACGGTCCACTGGATTGCCGGGACAGACCGGGACAGGCAGAGGTGACCGAGAGATGAGGAAAATGGGAAACTGAGGGCAACAAGTAATCAAATGGATACAGTTACGCCTGAATCTGAACGGGCCACCCGGCAGGAAGGCAGCCGGGCGGCAGGTGGGCGAGCGAGCTAGCTAGCTCGGAAACCCTCGAACGCTGTTCGGGTGGGTGGGCGAGCGGGATGTCAAGCCTACTTCCATGGCTCCGGGTGGCGTCTTTCTGCGACCCGCGCTCCCAACTAGCTGCTGCTGCCGCTTCCGCTATTGCCTCCGGGTAGGAAACAAGCAAACATTGGATGGGTCGCATGTAATCTACCGGCTGATTATTATTGGCCTAATTTGTCCCCCTGACGAAGGAGACATATCGGAAGTATGAACTCTTGTTCGTCATCTGGGGAGCGTCATTCGACGAGAGCCCTACTCGACACACCGTACTATACTCCACATGTAATAGAGCCTGTGGCTCGCTCAGACGCCATACGCACCTTCGTCGTGGTATGCGATGATGGTCTCGCGTATCTCTGGATGTTCGCCTGATTTTTTGTCGTCTTTCGTTTTCGTTTGCTGGTCCGAGGTTTTGGGTCGACGTGACCGGAGATACGCAGCGATAATCAAAAGGAGCACTGCGGTGATCAAGCTCGCGTATTAGAGCGGCGCCAGATATTCTGGCCTCGTTCCTTCCGCGGACAACGACCGACGGCGGCGAGGTCGTCTTGGACCGATTGCGAATTCAGCTCGACGCAATCACTTACCTAGGAGATTGAGTGCACACACAATTACAGCTGATACGGCCGCCATATTAAAGCTGTACATCTGCTCGACAGGCATCGGTTCCGCGCAGGTTTCGCCTCGAAAACGGGATGTACAAGTACAGCTGAAACCTCGTCCGTTGGGTCTGTTAACACAGAGGCCACCGTTCAGGCAGGGGAACGACGCTTCGCACTCATCGAGATCTGTGCAGTTGAACGGTCCTGATTGACGGAAACCGGGTGGACATCTGCATATCCACCGGGGCGTCGGAGCGCGACCGGGATGGACGGATCGGGAAAGATAAGCGGACTTATCATTAGTATAAATGGCATGTCGGGGTCAAGAAAGCCGATACCCGGACCGGCTGGACATGATTTGACATTTCGATCGAGACGTGACCTCTTTGGTGGAACCCGCCAATAACGAGTCGAAAAAATCTCCTGCGGTCAACGAACCTGCATGCGTGCTCATTCCATTGATCGATGCACATAAATGGACTCTTGCAGATAACGCCGTGGCAAGGATTGTTCGAAGGACAACCCCGTATGACGTTACGTGCTTCGAGGACATAGCCCGCCGGAGGAGCAAACGAATTCGATTCGCTCGACGGTGACTTCGGACCTCCGTCGCGAGCAACGATCGCCTGTCGATCGGGAGTCGCCGGATCTTCCAGGGAGAGTAGGCGTCCCTCGATGCGTATGTCACGCACACAAGTCGAGTTGAGATCGTTGTCGACCGTGACCACGCTGCCGTGGGTGTATCGAACGCTCCCGCCGACCACGACCCTTTGCCTGTCTACGTAAAGCAGCCGGTTCGAGCAATCGAGCTCGTCCACGAGCTCGACGTGTGACGCTCCCTGACCTTGATCGAGCTGCATGTACACAAAACACCCGAAACGTCGCACTCTCACCGTATGCCATCGGCCATCGTCGACCCGTATGGCGTCGAGATGCAATATCTTTTCTCGCACCGCCACGCGCTCCAGGTTGAAACGGAATCGCAGTTTCCGCTCGACGATTTCTAGCAGGGCGTATTCGCGTGTGTTCTGTTTTGGAGCGAAACTGATGAGTTCACCCCCCGATTGCCGGCTGCGAAACTGCATCTGAACGTCTGTCCGGAATGGATCGGGGTCGAAGTTGAGCGCGAATTTGATGAACGACGCCTGCTGAAGCATCCGCGAAGGCGTTTCCTGCGCACAACGCGTGCCCCACCAGCCCGGCTGACAGACGCAAGCCGCGCCTTTCGTTCCGGATTTCTTCGTGTCGATTCCGTTGTTGTTGTCCTTGAGATTGTTGCTATTCGTTGTGCTATCGTCGACGTCACAGATTCCGTGAACGCAGCGCAATTGTGCGCACGAAGGCTCGTCTGACGGACAACCGCTTCGGCTATTGAGCGAATACGCTGGGTTTTCAAGGTCGACCAGTTGCGAGTTGACGACCACGTGTCGTATGCAGCCCGTGAAGGATTTCGAAAGATCGGGTCGGTGTTTCCATCCGAGTTTACTGTAGAATTCGTTCAAGTCGTTGTGCTTCTTTTCGGGATTTTTGTTGTTGGTGCTGATAACGTGTTGATGATGGCGGCTGTTGGTGGTGGGGCCAGCTTTGTCCTTCGTGGTGACGAAAGCTCCTCCCAGCTGGATGGGATACTTGACGTTGAGCAGTGACGGGGCCGTCGGCAGGGACGAGTGCGTAGCGGTCGCCTTATGCTGCGGTTGTCGTCGTTGCTGTTGCGACGGAAGCGGCGGCGGCGGCGTCGACGGCCTCCAAGGAGCTGCCGACGCCGCCGCGGCCCCAACGCTGTCCCTGGCGCTGAGCAAAGTCGTCTGGTTGAGACACGAGCGCAAAGGAGTTGGTCTCACCGGGAGCGGAAAAGAGGACCCCACGGAGCTGAACTTCCGGCCACCGTCACCGCACAAGTCAACCATCAACTGGCTGCTCTGGCTATTCATAAAAACATCCACGCGGTGCCAGAGTTCGTTAGCGAGACTCTCCTCGCTATCCACTGTCACCTCGGTCGTCCCGCTTCCGACACCGAACACTAGACGGAGTTTGCCCTCGGTCAACTCTAGGGCCAACACTTCCCTGAGATTCGCCTCGCTATCCGCTCTTAGCGGTCCGGCGTATAGCAACAAGCCGTTTTCGTTGGAGGTTTTGAACTCGAGCGATAGGTGAAGCTGTTCGCAACTGTCGATGGGGCTGAACCAAGCGAAGCCGTCTCCACGGAAAGATCGCGTCGTTTGCTCGCAGTTGGCCCCGTTAAATCCGGGAGGGCACTCACAATGGATCGCGTTGTCGTCCTGAACACACCTACCCCGGCCGCCACAGCTGTGCCGGGTGCATTTTTGCCCAGCGCCCGGGTGGGCCAGGCGCGCCCCACATTCACATTTGGCGACGCTCGTCACGTTAACGCCCACGAACGCCGTACGGTTCGCGTTGACAACAATGTGGCTGTCGTCCGCGAGAACTAAGTGGTTTGTGCAGCTTTCTTGGTCGCAAATGTCTTCCGTATCGGTCGCCGCTTCCGGAAGGCATTCGTTCACTCCCACCTCGAGGATATCCAGGCTCAGCTTTCGGCTGAGAGCCTGACGATTCATCTCGACGAAGCCATTCAGCATCTCCGGCCGTAAGTATTCGTCCTCGGTCGACCGCACGAAATACCACACTTCGGTAATTGGCACCGGTTTCAGCTGCCGTTGAATCACAGAGAAGATATGGACATTATTCACATCGGCCTTCACTAAATCCGCCAAGACCTCGCGGAGCACTTCGAGCTTCTGCACCTGAACCTGTTGAGTCTGTTGAAGCCACACGCGCACGAGATCTTCATCCAGCACGCCCGAGAAACGTATCGATGCTCCGTGGCGAGCGTCCTCTTCGGAGATTTCCCTCACCACAACGGTCACGTTGGCTCCGACCTCCATCGTGTGATATCGATCGTAGACGAGAAATTTCAAAAAGTAAGAGCCTGGAGTAGCGTTCCGAAGAACTATCTCGCCCGAAGATTGATCCAGATTGAAATTCGGATGCGCCACATTGTTCTCCCAGAAGTACGATTTATCGTTGAAGTCCCAATCGTCGGCGTCTTCGACGTGGACCCTGCCGACGGTGAACATTCCCCTCGATCCTCTGAGCGAGTAGACAAGTATGCGCTTGGAGCCTGGGAACATCCTATGATCGTTTTTGTCCCCGATCGTGACCGTCAACGTGCTGGTGCCGGTGAGCGGTGGCGTACCTGCAATTATTCTGCGATTTATACTTGTACGTTGCGTGCGCGCGACTGTTGTCCGTCGGATCCATCCCGACGATTCATTCAGACGGGGAACGGGAGCTTGGATCGGAAGACTTTTGTGTTTTCGTGAATGGATTCGGAGAGAGAAAACCCGCGCTTTGATGAATAGTTCGCTTGCGCTGCCTCGGAACACGTGAGAGGTCAAGCGTCTCTTTTGTAGTTCAGACTATTTGGAAATAATAGAATGCGAAACTCACCAGAATCCTTGATGAGAATAGGGACCGCGTAGGTTTTTTCTGTTCCCGGTCAAACGCGTGCCTCGAGTACACGACCGCGCTGCCGTTTCCATCTGGAACGTCGTCGTCGCAAAAAAGATAATTTCAGAGACGGGAAGACCGTTTCTCCAGTGCCCGGGCGGAATTCACCACCTTTTTCCCGGATCTCTCCCTTCCGGCAGCTGTGTCGTTTGCGCGTCCTTGTGTGCGTTATTTTGCTTAAATGGTTTCGCCTCCGGAGAGATTCGGAGTGCATTCAAGAATGAGGACGACGTCGCCGAGCGCAAGCTCCACTTCTACGGAGATTATTCGTATCTCTCTACGTACAGCGCTCCCTAGGAGCGTATCCTTCTCCCTATTCTCGTCCAGTCGACCGGATGGAGTTTCCCCGACTGGGTGAGATACTCCCAACAATCTCGACTCAGCTTCTGTCCGATCAAAAATCGGATACTTCAAGTGGGCAAGAGATAAAAACGATTCGAGCTCCGCGGTTCCCAGTTAGCGGCTGCTGCGATTCGGTTCAAGCCGCCCGAGCGATGAGAGGAACGTGACGTGGAAGCCCAGGGGAAGTCGCGGAGTCGTTTCCTCAAAGGATCGTGCGGCTAACGAAGCATGATATTCCGGAATCAGTCATTCCTGATTGACGACAACTCACTTGGGTTGACTTCGAGCCGGAACGCTTTCTTGATGCTCTCCGGTGCCTGCGGATCTATCCAGAAGAGGAATGGCGGCCCGTTGATTGCCTCGTCGTCGTCGACCGCCTCGATGTCTTGGACCTTCATCGCCCCCTGATGCTCGGGAACCACGGGTTTGTAATCTTGTCTGAGGCGGGGCTCACAATCATTGACGTCCGATAGGATCAGAGTTAAGGTGGCCGTGGAGGTCCGCGGAGGAATTCCATCGTCGGTCGCCGTCACACGTACCTGCGGGACGTGGAGCGCATCTTATTTCAAGTGAGTCGATATGATTTCAGACTCGATTCTTTCGTCGACAGTCCGCCCGATCGCTGGGAGAGCTTTCCGAATCGAGTTCCACCGATCCTGCCGTCCTTGGGGATGGGACATCGACAGAGATCAGAGCGGTATTCGGTTTGCTTAACACTCAAGCAAATTGACAATCTCACCCAACTCGCTTGTTGCTCTAACGAAATGTAATAAATATTCATGAGGAGACACATCGAGCGCTCAGTCCGTCTGTCCACCCGTCGGAGTTGCCGCAATTCCTTCTCGGGGCGAACCGACCATCCGAAGATCTGACCAGTTGGTCAGTCGCTCGGCCGGTCGGTAAGTCATTCAGATCGTCTGTCTTTTTACTTGTCTGACTCGGGTCCTCATCTGCTTCGATATTCCCATCGACCCTCAGCTCGATAACCAGCAAGGCTTCCGCGCGAACGTCTTTTCGGCCGGCCTGTCAGAGAGAGACTTCTCTGCGGAAACTTTTGGATGGACTTACGTGATGCCGCGGAGACCTCTCCCGATCCAATGGTCGCTGGAGTGTTACGATCCCGGTGTTTTGGGATATTCTGAAGTGACGTCGTCGATCGGAAGATTTCTCTATCGCGTACACCACACGGCTTTGTCCCGCAGCGTCGAGATCCGTTGCCCTGCGACAATAAACAGCCGACTCAATGGAACACGTTTATGGCGGGAGCAATGACGACCGCGACGTTTGCACACTGTTCAACGACAGCGACGGCAACGACGTCGAGTTTAGACGGCCGGGGAGCAACAAGCAAGACGGCGGCCCGGCTGGCTGGTCAGCGGACCGTCGTGCGATCGCGAAATATGTTATTCCGCAATATCTACCAGCTGCGACCAATGGTATCGAGAGGACTGAGCAATGACATTGTTCAATGTACAGATTGGAGCGGATTTCCGCCGCTGCGCTGCTCTCGACTGATGAACCTGTTGGAGCAGCGGATACTTCTTGGAAAAGTTCCCCGGCTCATTGACCTCTCGTCCGCGAGGGAAAACTCTGCCGGCCCGGAGTTCCCCGGGAAAGTTTGCTACGCCTTTTTACTCACCGAAACGTCGCAACGACGGATCCCACTCTGGTGTCTTCTGGCACCGAGACTTGAATGTGCTGATTTTGGAATTTCGGACTATTGTCGTTGATGTCCCGAATACGAATTTGAACCTTTGCGTAGTCCAGGTGACGTGGGTCAGAACCCTGAACATTCCCGTCGTCGGACACGAGGATGGTGAGGTTGAAACCGTTCCGCTGGGAGGCAACCTCGTAATCCAGCTCCTGCGGAGGCGTGAGGAAGAAAAACTTTCCTCAATATAGAGCGAAGGTGCACGCAACGCAGCCTCCGGCGGCGTCTTTTCCCTCGACCCGCCATTCCACTTCTCTCGACAACTCTCGAACAAACTCCACGGAGCATTGATTTGTCCCTTCCGACTCAAAAGTACTTCCACCTCACTCCCACGGTTGGTACAAGTCGACGAGACTCCTAAACTTCCCATTGGGGCTGTTTAGAGCAATTCGATGTGAACACCCGACGGGAGCTAAGCTGAGAGGACAATACGAAACCTAGCGGATCGGAAAAAGATTTCCGACCGAGTGATACCCGGAAGCTGTCGCCTCGAATTCAGCGTGATATGCTGTTCTCGGCGAGATTGCTTCCGCGATGACGAGCTATAGACCGATGGCACGGTGGAGCCTGGAGCGCGCCGAGCACTCACAATCAAATCGGAGAACGTGCCTCCCCCTTCGAGACTGCACTCCGTGGAATGCTTCATCCTCACCTCCAGATCGCCTTCCGTGAAAAGGCGTCTCTCAGAGGGGAATCTTTTCGGAAATTTCCAAGTGAGGACGCTAGGTGCGTCCTCAGCTTTCGAGAGATTTTCCGTAGGAAGGTCACATCTTCGCCGACGGCCACAGCTCCGGTTCTGAACCCAACCGAGCCGAATCCTATTCGTTCCTGAGTTACTCTTCCAGGTAATCCCCGGTGATCACCGTACGCCAAAGAAATGGAGCTCCGGGTATACGGATCTCCCCACTCCTCGCTAGTGACTTGAGATCAGCGATTCACGAAGGATTTCAGGCTGGCCAGTAGGCCGGCGTGAGCCCCTAGGCCGAACGCTGCAATCATTAGCAGGAATCCCGAGCTTGTTCCGAATATTCACGATCATATCTTCATGATTTCATGATCCGTTTTTGTTTTTCGTTCAGCTTGAGGCTGCAGGGACGCTCCGATATTCGGGTAGAAACTGCCAAAGTGCCGCACATTCGCCCCACTCTCTCCGTGGAAGATTTGCTCGAAAGCCCATTGGGAAAGTTCGAACTAACCTTGATGATTTTTAAAGAGCCCGAGCCATCAGCGTTGGTGACGATCTCGAACTTATCCGCCCCAAATGCGTTCTCGACGACTTTGTAGCGAAAAACATTCGTCTCCGGCGAGTCTCCGTCGGTGACGCTGACGTCGAGGATCGACGGTGACGGGAGATCGGCGTCACCGTCCGTTTCATCAATATCCAGCACCCTATTCCGGGGAGAAGTGCTTCATTATCCACCGCATTCGCCCGTTTTTCTCAGCGACCCATCCGGAAACAGTGACGCTCGCCAACAGCTCTGGATGCTCATCGATTACGGACCGATGAGCATTAAATAGCCCCACTGCGACTTATATTCGAATCCGGTTGTTCCGGGGATTGCAAGTTCCCTCTCTTTCCCCGCGTACCATTCTTTCTTGATGAACTGCGGGCTCATGTCGTTCTCATCGAGAATCTGAATGCTGGCGGTGGCCGTTGTTTTGTGCGAGGGATCTCCGTCCATAGCCACAACCTACCGGGAAATATCAATATGAGACCATAAAAACACCCGAGGAATCCGCGGTATAGGATGACAACCAAGCTCATGCATCTGCAGATGGACTGACCTTTATCACGTAGCCTGCACTTCGCTCCCTATCGAGACAGCATACGGAAGTGGAGATGGTGCCCGTGTGTTCGTCGATTCGAAAAATGAGTTCCCCATTGTCATTCACCTTTGAAAGAAGGCTTCTGATAACTTCCTCCACGGATTGAACTGGTCAGCTTATCTCTCGAACTCCGTCTTCGGGTTCGTCTACCGTTTTCCCTGTCGTTGACCACGGTCTGTTTGGCTCTCCCTTTTCTGACGTCGACTTTGTTCACTTTCGAACATTCCCGACGACAAGCGGATAACCCACATTTTCGCTTTTCTGGGAGTCGAGACCGACGTCGAAAGCGATCTGTCCTTTGATCCCGGTCTCGAGAGGAGTGGAAAAACCCTCGCACGACGGAACCGAATCAGACCGCGAGACCAAAGATGTCGCGGACTTGAACAAAATCCACGAACTTCCGGAACAAAGCGTTCTCGATTGGAACTGATCCCCACAACATTAGGAAGAGTTCCTCTTATCCTTTCCCTCGCACGTTTATTCCTTTTGCAGGAACCGGGACTGAACGTTCGGCGTTGAAATCGAAGATCAGATCTCCCTCGCTTAGCTCTCCGCAGGTTGTTACGATTCGCCGTCTGGAAACTCATTCGAGGGCATTCCCTTTCGCCGGGGAGAAGGAGAAACAGCCGTGTGTGCCAACCCACCTGATTCTGTTCTATGGAATACGTAATACGAGCGTTTGTGCCTTCGTGGGGATCGTCGTAGTCTTGGGCTCTCATATTGAGCAGGATTGGGGTTCCTAGTGGCGCGTTTTCTTTGACGCTGCCTTGATACATGTGTTGTGAGAAGAAAGGGGCATTGTCATTCAAATCTGCAACGTAAACACGGCGTATTCATTTCCGGGCGGCCCATGGACAGCGATTACTGCATTCCCGGATGGTCCCTCGCGGAGTCCGGACCCGGACCGATTACGGCGTCTCAGTCTTCTCGGGCCCGCTCCGGATCAGAGACACCGCGAGAACAGGAGCAAATCCATAGCGGCAGCGGCCGATTCGAAGCGTTCGCAGACAATGTGGGAAGCAAACTATGTACATCAGTACGCAGCAATACGCAGACTCATCATTTTACCTTTGAGCGTCACATACACGTTCGCGCTGCCGAGCTTTTCTCTCGTTTGGGCGTCCTCGGCAAATACCGTGAACGAGTAATCCGCTTGACCGTAGGGAAAATCCCTGTCTAGTGCCCGGAGTACAAACACTTCACCTGATCGGAAAGGGAATCTTCGTCAGTGAGTATTTGTTCTGCCGTCACCGTCGCCGCCGTCCGTCGCCGCCGACGGCGAGCAAGCGAGCGCTTCCATCCGTGGCTCTCTGAGGTGTTGTTCCAATGACAGAGCCGTGCACCTGCCGACCCCGAGCGTCTGAAGTTAATGTGTTCAGGGAGACGCCTTCAACATGAAGATGACTCAGGATTGAGCTATTTTAAGGAGAATTTTGCCGTGCTTGTCTCCGACAGCGATCAATGGATATATTGTTCGTGAATAGAGGACCGACATGGCCGGAACAGCGTCTGCGGCCACGTGCGAATCGAACGTATTAATTATTCCTGAGACTTCACGACGCCGTTTTTAGAAGAACATGCTGATGACAAGCAAGAGCTCAAGCTCCTGACCTCCCGGGCAGGGCAGACGCCGGCGGCGATATCATATACCTTATCCGGGCCGGCCCAGTCGATCTCCAACAAGACCCTGGCCTCACGTACGTTGAGCGAGACGGGATTATGGAACTCACCCGTGGTAGTGTTGATTGAAAATTTCCGGTCTTCCTGGCGGCCGTTGTACGAATTGATTTCAGGTCCTTCCATTGAGTACACCACGGGTCCGACGACACCGTCCGGAGCCGTAACCTGTGAAGTGCGATTTGGCGGATGACTTGAGCAGCGGTCGGATGAACACACCATGGCGAGCCAGAAGACTGTCCCCCTTCCACCCCCCACCACACGGCAACGACCGACCAAAACCGCTCGACTGTCTAACTAAGGGCTCAACAAGCTGGCACGCGAGAGCAACGAGTCATCTTTCAGCGCGGAGGCGAGAATGGGGAGACAGCAAGGGCGGGGAGGAGAAAGACGAACGTGCGAAAAAATATCCTATCTGTCAACCTCGAGCACATCTGTCAAGAAGAGCAGTCCATCTGTCATTTGCACGACGTCTCGGATACTGTTCGGGACGGCGGAATTCGCAGAGACGGCGCCAAGCTCGAGAGGGGACATAATAACTACATGTCTACGTGGCTCTGTGGCTTTGTCACATTTCATCAAGACGGCTGGTCGGCTCAACATGCGTGAACCCTCTCGCCAACGAGCGTTTCCCGACGCTCCGGCAAACGGAAAGATTTACGTCGCGACTCGTGGCACGCGGGGCGCTCATTTTTCCTCGTTCCGAGACGTTCATTCGTTTACCCCCGTGGGATACGTACCCTCAGGATTTTCTGTGGTATTTCACGATCGTTCTCCTCGACGAGCTCCACGTGGTAACTGGGTCTATCGGGAAGTTTGGCGTCCAAATCCTTACTCCGGATGAAGTCCGATATCAACTCGGAGCCGTCCGCCCCGGAGCTCTGAGGGTGCAGGGTCGATTTGAGGACATTGAGACGGTCGACGGAAATCGTCGGATTTCTCTGCCCCGGTCTCGAGTCATTTCCCAGAGCATCCCACTTTGCCTCGTCTCATTTTTAGCCACAATCACTTCCGTTCACTTACCCCCGATGTCTCAGCTGATTGTAGAGAATGGTTTTGATGAGAGTCTGAAAATTCGAGAGTGAGAGGGAATAGCATCGGCAATCGGGACCAGCAAAGGAGAGAGACTGAATCAACTTTGAGAATGGGAAAGATCATTTGAAATCTGAACGCTCAATCGGAAGTCGGAAAGCCAGGCCAAGTGGAGTAACACCCACTTTCCATCGGCTGCTCATTCGACGCCGATCTATCAATGATACTTCGAGGGGAAAAATCTCGGCCTTCGTTAATAACTCAGCAGATCAAACGGCCGCATCGGAGTTCTGCCGTCGATTCGGACCTTCAGAACCACAATCGCAATTGACCCAACTCTAATTTAATAGAATCTCCTCCGACACGTTTGGCTCTCTGGCCGGCCTTCGGATGACCTCGAGGTCTAGTATCCTGCCGGCGTAAGCTTCGTCCGGAACGGACGTGTTTGGGTGTTCGTTTCACTCGGCATTCGATCCCGACCTCATACGTTGCTCTCGATCCTTCTTCTAGTCGGCGCACAAGAGGAAATGAATTCCTGACATTGTCGACAGTGGGGAGGCATGCTTCCGATTGACGGAGAGCCGCGGTCTATGCCGCGCTACTGTAGGGGCCAGCGCTGAGAAAGTTTCAACTCCAGAGTGAAATCACCATGACGTAACAATGAAGTCCTCCACAAGCGGGCGGAGATTGGGTAGATCATTTCTCTACTGGAAGTATTAGGGTGGACATATAGGCAGGAAGTCCTGGAGCGTATGAGTCTTGGGTGGGGAAGCGAATGGGTAGCCATTCGATACACGGAGTGCGGGACCTCTCCATTCCTGACTGCAGGGAGACACGAGCGAAACCCATGATCCACTCGCGAGGAGCTCCCGACGATTGTTTTGTATTCCATTGAAATGATCATCGGGGTTCTCCCTCATGCATCTTCAATCTCAGGGACCGGCTTTCGCTCTTGACAAGGGTGCTGATCCTTGCGGGAGAGTACGCAACAGAATTCACTCCATGTAAATCGAATAATTACCGTGATACGCAATGGCGAACCGTCACGAAAACTGTGGAGCCCCAGCTCCGAGCCTGCAGTCTTGTATTCGTACCGGATGACTTCTTCGGGATGGATTTATTTCCCAGCCTTTTCCCGCTTCCCGATATAAGACCGCAAATTCTACACTGCTACGAATTAATCTTCCGGCCTCAGCGATGTTGAAGAGAACCCGATCTCTCCAACTCCAACGCTCGAGCCCCATGCAAGCTCACGATACTTCTATCAATGCGATATCCCTTTTTCATCACTGTACAACGTCTATGCGCTCCCATTAACGAATGCTTGAGCGACGGAGTCCTCGGCTGCTCGTTTCTCCAGTGAGAGTTGAGCTATTGGCGTCCGCGTTCTTCCTCTTCTGCGTGTCCCCGCGAGTTGGGTCCGCACCGACTCGTTGCTTACCTTCGCTCCCGTCGTAGTCGAATGGTGTGCTGTCGTCGAAGTCGTAGGGCAACGATGTTCCGTTTGCGAAGATTTTGTTGAACCTGACAGGCGCCGTCTCGTTGGAATCCGACGATGTCCGCAAGCCATTCTTCGACACTACGAAAAGAAGAGAATTATGATATTCACTTATCAATACAACATGTTTCTCATGGTATCTGAGAGCGCTGATTCATTGCCGGACTTGGGACTGCGGGAACCCTGAGTGTATTCTTCCCCAATGATTCCCCTATGCTTCGGAGAATGGTTCCATGGCGAGGGTCGCAATGAGGTTGTGCGGTAGGTTTCATGATCCGAACCCAGCCTCTTCACTGCCTCTCAACAACAGCTAAGTCGCGGTCATTACGGAAGCCCAATGTCCATCTGGGCTACACCCTCGAGGCACTAAATTACGCGGATGGCGCTCGCGGCTGCGTTTGAGCTCCGGGGAGCAGCAACCTTTCTGGCTCCTGCCACGAAACGGCGGAAAACGTAAATTTCGAGCGGCCATGAAAGGCCAACCGAGTGATGAGATCGTGGAGTTCAGTCGACGCAACTGCTCTGGGAATCCCTCTGACGAGTGTTGGCGCTCTCTCGAGTTGAACTCGTGGCCCTTGACCCAAAACAGGACGATGGACCGAATGTTCGCCGTGCCTCGCCGCTATTGGACCCTCATATGGAAATCGAGGAAATCCCATATGTTGATCACGTATCGAAGATTTGAGACAGCTTCGCTGTCTATTATTCGGACCTTCTAAAGTATACCCGCAGACGACAAACACTCATGAGTGTGTACGCTAATTTACGATCAACCTCTTCGCTAACTTCTATCGAGAAGTTCGCGTGCAGGACCTCACAACTCACAATCAAATAGTTCTGCGGGGGTTGAATCTGCGGATGATTGGAGAGTCGGAACAGAAATGCATAATTGCTTAAAAAAAAGACTCTTGTTGGATTCATGTCGCACATGGTTCTCTGAGTACTGACGGAGGAATCACATGTCGAGAGTCCCAATGTAGACAAGGCTCGATGTGCCTAGCGTTCGACGTGGTTTTTTTGCTCGAACACAAATTTCACAAGCCAGACCTAAGGGTCTGACCGGGGTCGTCGTTCGCATCAGACTGCAGAGGCGTCTGGTCAGCTGCGTTTGCCAACATCCGGTCTCAAGGACATGTAGGGGGTTGTCGCTCCCTTCATAATGGAGAAGAAACCCTTATGATGAGAAAACGCCGGGGGAGGGACAGTAAACCTCGTTAAAACTTAGCATGACGAACGGCATTACCCCTCCCCCCCGAGCTCTGCCTCTCGAACACCTTCACCGACACAGATCTTCTCCAGAATCGCTTACTGTATCTCCCGAAATCCGAGGAGCATCCTGGGCGAGACTACCATTAACGAGAGGAATCCGCTCCGTTCGAACAGCTAGGTCATTTTGTTTGAACAAAAAGAAGCAATTGCCTGACACGTTTAGTGGTGGTGTAGGCTACGTGCTTGTTGCGCTGTTTTATCCCTCTCCTCGACTAGTTCGCTCGCTCGCTCGTTCCTTCATTGGATCGACTCGGCCGACCAACGGAGCTTACGCGCGCCCGCCAGGCCGAGGAGTGTTCGTGCTCCGTCTCGAAGCCTCCTCTGCCGCCTGTTTGATCGAGAAGGTTCTCGCGGGGCTTCGAAGCCTTACGGAGTAAGGTAGAGCACTTGGAGACACCGTGAATGGAGTTCTTGCTCGGAGCGATCCAAGGATGTCCTTCACGAGCGACTATCGTTGGGCGGAATGTGAAGCCTCCACGGAGCCTAGTGACGAATATCAACAGCGAATCTGGACTTGCTCTGCATCTCGTCGCGGTGTGGAACTCGCGGCATCCTTTCGAATACAAAACTCGATAGGTCAAGAGTCCAGAACTGACTTCTCTGCTGCGGAACGGGCAGCGGTGGATCCTTATCGGATCGACCATCAGAAAGTCCTACCTCACGCTCGTTTCTATGAAATTCTGGTATTTGAGGGAATTTATAAGCTCCGCCAGCATCGGATCCTGGCCGATGGAGCTGCCAGAGGGTATGCGTTATATCGTTCTCTCAAGGTTCATCGGTCCGGACTCGAGTTTCCCGTTCCCTGAGCGTAATTTCAGCGACATGCGGTTCGGGTGGATGATAAGTTTACTCCTGTCGTGTATGTATTATTACCCGCTTAGTAATTAGCGGAATGAATTTTTGGAGCAGATGAGCAATTATTGGAAATCTCACAATCGACTACGGTCCTGATGAGAGAGGTTTCGACTCTGAACGTCGGAGAGAATGATCCGGTTATGTGGAACTCCCGAATAGTTTTATCCCGTTCCGGATTATGTTCGAGAGCCAGGGAAGTCTCGAAGAATGAACAGCTCAACCCGGAACCAGGGATCATGGTGTGTGTCGCCTGTCGTCGTCTCTGTCATGTGGCCGCATTATATACCGCTGCAGGAGTACGGCGAACTCCTCAGCACGTGATGGGGAAAACGGAGCCCAAAGTTTTCCCTCACCAGGCGATTTTTTTCGACCTATCGCTCGAGTTCAATCTTGCCTCGATTATCTCTCTCCATAGCGAGCGAAACACCGACGTCGTAGTTTGTAGTTTCCAAACCTCGGAACGGCCTTATCCAGACTGGGATGCATCTGCACTGTGAAGATTATTTCGACCTAATTCATATCCGAGTGCAGTAGACGTCAGAGAACTCGAAGGGGATATCCGGTGAGATTTGCGCGAACGATTTGAAGCCTTCGCGAGATTTATCGACCAAATCGTCTGAACGGCCGTCGGTGCCAAAGTTTGTTAATCGTTCACGCCGCCAAGTGCGGAATTTCCCTCGCATCTGAAGTTTCCACCTTAATTCACCCAACAATGTTGCCTGATGGCTAACACGTTCTCAGGGAATGCTCGTAGGCGCGTTGCCTGGCTACTGCCGAGCGAGGCGGTCATGGCGTCAGACCATGATCGATTAGCTCAAATGAATCACATGTTTCTCGCGACTTCAGACCATGTTTGGAGCATTCCTTTCTTCTGCATCTCGTGGACCAGCGATGAGCGGGAACCTGTCGTCCCGCCCCCAATTTCGGCGATTGACTGTGGGCATCGAATTAGGAGAGAGCTCTAATACAGCAAAACTGTCTCGGTGACCAAAAATCGATGCAGACTCGGATTGCACTCGGGGCGGCTGGCTCTTAGTACTCTAATGATAATCACCGTTGACCGACTTCGCGAAAGCAGGAAACAGAGTGATCGTCGAGACAGAGCTCACAAGGGCACCAAATCGAGCGTGAACGAGCGTTGGACAGATTTAATTGACATGGTCCAAGTCGCTTGCAGGGACAGATTCAGGGTATTATATTATGTACACGGAGCGACTGAGTCGGCACACTTCGCATCGAGACGACGAGAACTTCGTAATTGTGGACCCAATTCTTTTGGGAACTCGTTGCGTTTCCATTCACTCCGACAGTGGAACGACGGCGAGTCGCTTCGGCCCGCGTCGCTCGAATTAATCATCGGAAACCGACACAAGCCCAGGCGAGTCACTATCATGCGTGCTGTTTCCGTGTGAGTGTCTGAGCACCTCGCTGCCAAACATCGGCTCGTATGTGAATACATTCTACGAAGTTGTCGGATCCGCACTCGCGTGAATAGTTCCCGATCAAATTGTCGAAAATCCAACGAGTCAAACAACTTCTGCTCCTGCAATGCATCAGCCGAAACCACTGAACGAGACCGCGCTTCTGATCCCCGCTTTCCCCTACAGCTTCCGTAAATCGTGTCTCCCTTCTCAAAGTTCAGGTGTGTTCATTGTTCCGAAAATGTGTGCTGGAAATCCAGATCAGAGCCCGCGGAACGTTCCCAACCGCCCAGAGGCGCGACGTCACGGGACCAGATGGGTCTCGATACCTGGTGGCTTCCCTCATGTAGCCGTCTCCCCCAGTACACAGTTCCTCGAAGGTCTTAGACATTCTACGGATTCCGCTGACGACGATGATCGGGTATAGTCCCCCCGGTTTGCGAGCAAGCTGAAAGCACCGCTTGATGCATGGACTCGAGTCTGGCTGTACGACATGGGACGGAACTTTCGGAGTCCCCCTTCAGTCACTCTCTCCGGGCTGGAATAAAGTCTAGAGGGGACTATTACACGCTACGCGGAACGAGTGCGATAAATTGCAGAGCGCACTAGAATTTTAAGAATCGCTATAGAGTTTTTGGGAAGCTAGAATAGGACTCTCTAGATGGTGCGCCGCGTCGCAGCACATTGCACAATGTGGAGCTTCGTGGCTTGCGACTCCAATAAAAAGTGACTTTCCGGAAGAATATTTCCAGAGCGTCGATTCTCCGGCGATTGATATTGGTCTCTTTCGGAGACAGCCTCCAGGTCCGCTTAGCATCCCAGAAAACGGCGCTGAGGGAGCTTCTTTTCGTCAACATCATATGAGTCCATCTTGCCGTCCCGGAAACAAACTCAAAATCTCAGCTGATGGACAGTTACGCCATCGGATTGCTACATGGTTCGCAGTGAGGAAACGATTTATCGCGCACTCCGATAAGACCCCTACCGCGGTCTTACACCGATGACAATATATTGTACCGCACAGCTCGATGGGGATTTATTGTGCCGTTAGACAACGAGTTACGTGTGCTCCAATTGGCGTGGGTGTAAACGATCGTCTCAATTGCTTGAGACTGTCATGGAACGGCAGAGCTAGCGGGGAACCGTGATTCCGAGAACCGCAGAAGGAGCTGAGGCAAAAGCCATCCGATGACAAGGTCAGAAGTGTACTGTTGAGCTATTATTCCGCCGAAGGCCGACGGAAACGAAGACTCTCCAGAGGGATCAGCTCCGGGAAACAGAAGCGAACAGTCCTTCCTCTCACGGAGCGTCACTTGACAAGTTTATTGAGACCGCTATCCCGGAGGCAGAGATTCGAAATCGAGCAGGAAAAGATCCGTTCGGAGCGAGTCGTAATTCATTGCTTCGATGGAGAAGCGGAACGTCGACCGAGAATTTTTTGCCCCGCAACGAGCACCAACGAGCGGGAGTCAGAGCTCTGAGACCCTCGCTGATTTTTTCCGGATCTCCGAAGATCGACAGGCTCGATCTACATCT